TCCTCCTCCTGCGGCTACTACTACTACTACTACTACTACTACTACTACTACTACCAACACTACTACGACGGGTACCAATACCAGTACTAGTGCCAGTACTAGTGCTAGTACTAGGTCTAGTACTAGTACTAGTACTAGTACTAGTCCTACTACTAGTTTCTAGGATAACTGCTACTACCACCACCACCGCCACGACGACTCCTACTTACCGTTTAAACTCGAGTTCCGCGGCCTCCTCGCTGCAGAAAGCGTAGAGCTTTTCCGAGGTCAGGGAATCCTCGTCGCCTCTGCCTTTGCAGTAGCCAGCTCTCGTCTTCGGCGCCGAGAACTCAGCTTCCAGGTCTCTGACGGAAATCGGGGGCGTCATAACTGCGAGCCCCGGCGGGGGATCCGAATAGCCTCCGGACGACATCCAGAAAGGGTCCAAAGAGCCTACAGCCTACGATAGGAACTCCATTGTGGGTGTTCCTTGAGCAAAAGCTTCAAAAGTCTGCGCGCAAGGACCTGCGAAACCCAAACTTCAAACACAAGGGCATAGGAGCGCACTCTCTTCGCGGGATGACAGAGGGTTCTGTACATGTCTTAAAACTCAACCTTTGGATTGTGGTCTTTTTCGGCCTGACAGTGTCGGTTGGGTTTCATGCCGTGGACTGCATCAGAGCTTCACTGATGTAACAATGGATGGGTAGCTTTCTAAATTAGGGTCCCTTTTCAGGGTCCTTTTCATAAGGGTGCCGTACTATAGTGGGGACCTAAAAAGGGACCTTAATTTAGAGAACTACCCAGATCGGAGTCATCGCATGCGCAGTAAGTTGGATTTCCTTCGCTGTGCATCCGGTCCGGTTTACGAGTCCCAAACCTTGAACCTCAGCAGGAACGCTGACGTAGAAGAGAAACCTGAACGTCAGCAGCAATCCCAGCATTTCCATGGCGATGCAAAACACGGGCGAGGCAGAAAGTGCACACACCAAGCCCCGCAAAGCAAGGCCACAGCACAACAAGGAACACTTATACAAACCCCAAAAACCTCAATCCTAACCCCAAACTAAACCCTACACCCTAGAGCTTAAGTTCCAAAACCCCAAACTCTAAACTCACCTCTCTTCCTGTCGTATCGCGTTTCGAGGCGAACTTCTCCGAGACGCGACTTTCCACCTGGAGGACGGTTCACGCGGCCGGAAATGCTAGAAAATGGCTCTGGTTTGGGGCTCAGGGTCAAGGGTATGGGCGGGTTTAAGGTTCAGGGTATGAGGTTGAGGGTTCAAGTTATGAGGTATAGTGTGCACCCGATACCCTACCATCCGAAGGCTTCGCACTCATGCCCAGGCCTCAAATTAGATGCGTTTAGGGTTCAGGGGTTTTCAAGGACCAACCCATGGGTAACCACAGCATCAGAATAACCGCGAGAGCGATCGCACTGCGAGCAAAGTTAGCTGGAAGCTCGAAGGCCTTATGACTGACGCATATCCCCCAAAGCTTTGATGTGGGGCAAGGGGAATCTTTTTTTAATTGAGTTTACTACAGTTGCCTTAATAACTAGAATAGGGCTTTGGAGCCCATTATACTATAATTATAAGTAGAGGTAACTATTTAGGCCTCTATCTTACACATCACGACGCATCAACCTCGAATGCATGCGCATGTGGAGGGTTTGAGGGTCTCCCTATGTTTCCTGAGTTCACGCCTCGCCAAACACCACCTCCAAGAGCCTATGTTTAGGGTTTAGGGTTTAGGGTTTAGGGTTTAGGGTTTAGGGGTGCTGATGTAAAAAAAGGTGTCCGGTTTGGCCGCAAGCTCTCAGCACCCCAGCCCCCCCCC